TGATCTTTTAATAAATATATATATATGAAACAAAAATTAAAAGAAATAAAAGAGAAATTTAAAAATACACAATTGCATTAATATATTTCACCATTCTATTACAGCAAATGATAAGAATAAAACCAGTATGGATATAAAAAAATGTGAACAATACTATCAATCACTTTGCCCTAAAGAAAGAAAATGTTTTGAGAATGATGATGGCAACAAATGTACAAAGGTGCTTGACACAATGGATGGATGGATGGCTCGTGATAAGAGTTCTATGAGCCCCCGGTAAAATGATTTAAAAAAAGAATAGGATCATCAAAACCCCCGGGTGGTACAAGTGGTTCATTTCCTGGGCTGCAAATGAAAGATTGGAGGTTTAAATCCACCCAGCGGCACCTCAGGAGACAGGAGAAAGGATGGACTTGTGCAAACTGAGACACTGGGCAGCCTGTGGGGCATAGTTCGCCTCTGACTCCCACGGCCTCCCCGCGAGTCCGAAACAGCTCAGTGGCAGCTGGGGAACTCCTTAGAAAGCCATCACCGATTTCAGAATAGCAGACCTATCCATCCGCCCCAAAGATTCCTCGTTCCCCTTGGTCCTGTCTCCCTCTTTCCTCTCCCCTCATTCCCAAGCCACCACTGACCTCCACTCTGTCCTTGTTACTCCATTTTCACTTATTAACATTTTATATAAATGATTGTATTCTTCAGTATCTGTCTGCTTTCACTCACTCAACACAATTACTTTAAGGTTTGCTCACGTGATTGCATATCCTCATCGAACCTTTTTATGGTTGGATCATATTGCTGATATACCACAATTTAGTATATAGTGCTGTTGCTAGACACTGTTTCCAATTTGCGGTTATTACAAATGAATTTCCTATGCATATTTGTAGGCAAATCTATGCGCAGACATATACTTCCCCCCTTGGGTTAACATGCAAGAATGACATGGCTAGATGAAATGGTGGCTATGTCCAACACTCAAGAAAGTGCCATGTGATTTTCCCAGGAGATTTGTTCTTTCTCCAGGCAGTCCATATTGTTGTTGTTGTTGTTGTTGTCGCTGTTGTCAGGGGCCATCGAGTAAGCTATGACTTATCAAGAGCCTCTGTACCACAGAGCCAATACTGCCCAGTCCTGTGCAAGCCCTACAGTTGTGGTCATGCTTGATC